TCTGTATATTTTATCATTAAACGATTGTACATGTTGTTTTAGTTAACGATCTTGAACACACTTTTTCGTTGTGCAACTGACATAGCGTGACACACTTGTGGTTGTTCGCAAATACACTACTACACACACACTCCTTGTTCCATTCTCACGCGTTATCGAGCCAATTGCATTCTAAATCGAATATTATCCACATTTTAGACTATTGTGCCATTTATATTACATCCTACGTCACAGAAACTTACTGGAGTCATATTTACCTCATCGGAGTTATTACTCATTTATAATTGTGGATTTTGTTACCAAAACTTAACGGAATACGCGACAACTAGCTGATTTAAGTAACGTTCCTGAACTTTTATTTTGTGTTACTAACTTATAAATTGTTATTGTTACATTAACTTTTGGACGTAATAACTTTATTGCTAATTTTTGGTTGTTATACTTTTTGGTCCACTACACCACTCATAACAGTACTCTGTTTTTGAATCATAGCAGCTGAGAAACTTGCTAAGGATTTTTCAAGATGATTATAGGACTTCACAGCTTCATGATATTTAACAAGAGGAAGGCCAAAGAACACATTGCGTCGGATAATAGAAGCAGATATGAAAACGATGAATTACAACTGGACGCAGCTAGAAAGGATTGCCCAGGACAGGGTTGGATGGAGAATGCTGGTGAGCGGCCTATGCTCCTTCACGAGGAGTAACAGGCGTAAGTAAGTAAGTAAGTAAATTTCTTTTCAAACATATATTTATGAAGTAGTTTAACAGCCCAAAACAAAGCTAATACTTCTCGCTGAGTTTGTAAATGAATTTGTTCAGCAGCAGTACGTTTGCGTGAAACACGGACTGCTGACCTACCCCCTGCTCCAAAACTAATACCCACTGGTGATGTATCAGTAATAAGCAAAGAATGTACGCTAAGGAAATGTGTTCGAGGAACATCATCGCTTTACCGAAACTTACGAAGGCTTCTTAAACATGAATCTTGTTCTTCGTCTCATTTCAACTAATTGGATATCAAGATTTAAAATAAACAAGTAGCATGAAAGAAAAAATTGGAATAAAATAGAAATCACGCTGAAAAGCACCCATCAATGGACGTAGTTTTGTAAGATCATTGACTACATTACTCAATAATTCCTGAATTATGGCCGAAGAACAACTTATACAAAATGAAAAATAGAGTTAAATTAATAACTCGTGTCAAAATAGATTGGAACTAATCCAAGGGAATTTGTAGACAAGCATCAATTAACTCAATTTTTGAGAACACCTTGAAACCATGAAGTCGATTGTAACGACCGCAATACCAATATTCGATTTGAACGCAGAACTAGTGAACCAAAGTTTACTCGATTAGGCCAGACTACATTTTTCTGTGTAAAGTACGAAGAATTTTTGAGTGATTCGTAATAAATCGCATAAAAACACAATCTCTGTGTTCAGTTCATACGGATTCAGTATGATAATGAGCAAATCATCTCAAAAGTAAAGCCTGTGCTATTCAGTCAAAAGATTCCCTAACACAAACGTAGGTTCTAAACAACAAAAGGAATGATTAATAAACAACAGCTTGATACCCGAGAATAAGTAAGATGGGATCAGATATCTGCCTTCAAGGACTCCAGCTACCTTTACAAGCAAAAAGTCGATGGTTGACAGCCATATACTGAACCTGTAACAGCTTAGGTTGACTGTTTAAGAGTTGACCTCAAACAATTAAGCGTGTGTCAAAACAGTACAGTTCAAGTAATAATTCACTTCCTTATTTTGTATAAACGTTATATTTCCTACTATCTTATATTGAATGTTGAGAGGCTTTGTTTGTCTAAACAGGTAATCCCACGCTCCACTGTGAGTGTGCGAAGATCTAAATAAAGACCTTTTCGCTACTTGTCTGGTCTCTTCTATCAGTAGCACGAGGGTTACCAATAGGCACGAAAAACCAAGTCGTTACCGTGAATTTAGTCAGACACGACCTTATTACCAATGGTCTGTAAACAAGGAAAGGCAAATTTTTAACCAAGATCTAATAACAAAAGCTTTGACTTGGAAAAAAGAGGCCGGGATAAGGGTCAGAATCAAATAAATTGCATTACTCTCCAATGAAATACTCTCGACAGATTTTCAGCGTTTTCTTTACGTTACATCGATAGAGGATATCTTCAACATCCACTGTGGTGCATGTTAGCTTCAACAGACAGTGGTATTCGACACATTATTTAGGTATTTTGCTGTCACGCTTCAATGGTGTATCGATAGGAAAAACCAAGCTGAAGACTAGATTGGTTCAATATTTATTTTAAACACAAACCATTAAATGTTTTGAGTACTGTTTCTGGAAGAACTGTCATTTCTAACTAGCGGTTCGCAGAAGTTGGATTCCAGTAAATCTCAGTGCTGGGACTTCATTCGTTAGAACCTACGTTAGAATCTAAAGATATAAGTATCCGAATGAAATAATGAATCTTATAGAGTATGGGTAACGAAAATGAAATGGAATGAACAAAGAAAGTTTTATAACCGTTCATGAATATAAAAATTACCTTTTAAATGCATATGTTGTGCTGGAAAGTGAACCTCGCACTACAAATGTTCTATTCCATGATCTGAATAAAGACTTACTGTATCTATTAGTTTTATGGATAAAACGAGTAGTATCTACCGACGCGAAAATCCTTGAAAATTGTGGACAAAGACAAATGATGATTAGTCAAAACCGAATTATGTGGTTTATTAGCACTAATGGCGAAATGAACAGTAGTTATACACATCAACTTGTTGAGTCCAATTTGCTACTTAGAAAGTACTTAGCATGATACTGGACACATCAATTACGTGAAAAAAGTTTAACACATATTAGACACTTACCAAGCTTGTGATCGATCTTGTTTACAGCTTTCTACTAATAATTATTTCACGTGCTACTCAGAAAAGGGGGGTTATTGTTGATTAAATCTTTCGTAGTATGACCTTGGAATTGAATCGATTTGTAACAACTAAGTAGGGTGGTGGAATTCTTTATGTCCCGGGAGTCGGTGTCGTGCTTTGTCTTAAAGCATTTCGGTAGCTGGATGTGCGCTTTTTCCAGACCTAGTATGTTAATTTCTTCAATTTATCGATCACACACTTAGATATGAAGTCAATCTGAAAAATACATTTGACGACTTGTTTCTACAATTCGAGGATAAAGCAACCAACCATCTGTCTATTCTGACGGATCCTTTTATGAAATTTCGCTCTATCAATAGATTCAAAGCTTGTGCGCTTTGCATGACTTAGTAGTATTTCTTTGACGGCTTCATAGAAGTTGGAACAGCATTATCTGTAAACGCCAAATTATTAAATAACCAGTGGACATCTTTTCCTACAAACGTAAGAACATGATCCTCTTTAACATCTTTCATAGTGGTGTTCCAGATTTTAAGGATTTCAATGCAATTCTCGAAGGCTTCGGAATAAAAATGTATATCTTACTGTTCAAACAGGCTCCATCGTAGTGGATTATCGTAGGGTTTTCCTTAAACTTTATGTATCGTTTATCTTGATAACAGTTATCAGATAACTCTCAAAGGCGTATAGAATTATGGAAATAATACGAAGCGTTGATAACAGTTTTTTATATAACAGCACAGATCACCACAACCACAAAGTGGATCGAAGCGGAAATGAGTATCCGTTTGAATGCAAGCAAGCGAATACAGAGATGAATTAAAAGTCGGATGAAATGGTAGGAACCAGACACACGTGCACAGGAAAGCGAACGATCCATCTAGTGATTTAAGCAGCTATCATTTAACCTAATAAGATTGATACAGGTGTAGGGTGTGACACGTGATCAACCATACATTTTCATACACACGCAAAATAATAATGCACAGTGCTACCTTTCTAATGGCACTGTTTGATAAGTAAATTTACTGCAGAGCTTTAAAACATTAAACGTAAAAAGACCCGAGTGTGGGTGAAAAGATACACCATCGCGATTTCGGATGAAAAGAAGCTCCTGTTCATCATGCTTCCGTATCTAGTAACTGTAGATTATCGAAACCGTCAGGTGGGGACGTAGGGAAATTTAAGGGTAGAAAAGGAAATAATATTCGTAGATTACAGCGAGATATTTTTATTAGTCCTTAAGATTATCTCAAGTTTTCTCTCAAATGACCGATTAGAAGTAGCTTGAACTAGTTCAGCCGGCAGCGAATTTGAGAGTTTGATTACTCCTAAAAATTAGGTGTGTCTACAGTCTGTTCCGCTATGTTGTGACTCCAGTTTCTTGGTGTTACCCGTAAAGCTTATGTTGGGACTGACCTTAGGTAGGTATTTAATGAGATGCCCAGAAATATTTAGGATGCTGTAAGTAATTAGAAGGTCACCTCTGAGACGCCCATACTCTAATGGGCGGACGTCTACTGATTTGAGGAGCTCCTCACAAGGTTTGAATTCGAGTCCGTGAAGTGATCTCGTGGCTCGCCGTTCGATATGTTCCAATGTATGATTAGTCTTCCGTCGAACTGGCCAAACATGCTCTTTAACGTTATCGATGCAAGGTCTGCAAGAAAAACATTCCGTCACGATTAGCGTGAAACTTAAGATCATAAGGTACCGACACTTTAGAACGTTTTTCAACTTAAGATACTTCTTAAAGGTAGTCGAATAAGTAATATTCGCAATCTGTAGCATGTTTCCGAAGGACTACTTTACATTATGAAGTGTTAAGAGTAAGTCCGTCGTTGTCCACTCAATTCTGAAAACAAGTCAGATCCTCCTGAAGTACCAGGTTATCGTCTTGATTGCAAGCTTCTCTCCAGAGTTTCTAATAACCAACAAAAAGCGATATATGCCGAGGAGTGTCGTGCATGCAAATTAAGAATGATTTGTAACTTAGTTTTTGAGATGTATCAGCCAAATACGAATACTTAATATGAGAAGCTAAAACGTTTGGACGGCAACATATACAGATGCTTATTTAACGTTTAATACTTTACTGTTTTACATTGATATCCTACAAAGTGTTGCGGTACCAAAAACTAATGCGTTACTTCAAGGATGTCTATTGAAGATCACGAAGTAGACTTGTTAGACTTATCAAGTCCTGACGTTAAACCGTCGAATTCGTCAAATAATTTGGTCCAAAAGCCTTCCAACGTTGTTGAAAATGGCTGTAAATCAAAACATGAAAGCGACCCTATTATTTCAGTGCCCCCTGTCAAAGAACAGTTATTATTACATTTGGATGTCTCTCAGGTGAGTAATTATCTATTCCTCTGTTTGGTACCTGGTTTGAAAGTGTTTGTGTAGCTTACCATATTTTAAAACCAGGTTTTTTATGACTAGATTGATAAATATATATATATATATATATATATATATATATATATATATATATATATATATATATATATATATATATATATATATCCTGCGACCAACAAGTCCCCATCTGCCACCTAAACGACTCTCTTCTGTGCCTAGACGCCCGACCTGAGCATTCAAGTCTCCGGCTAGTACCACAATAGCTGTCGAACGCACTTTCTGGAGAAGGACAGACAACTGGTGGTAAAACTCATCCTTGATTGCATCCGGGCTGCAATCTGTCGGGGCATAGGCGGAGACGACGAAAAGACGTCGTTTCTCACGCCGATTTCTTCTCACTTTGATGGAACTCTCTAGTCTCACAGCACATAACTGACTGTTAATCAATTAGTGCTACCTTAGCCCTAGCGCTCAGTGCGACACCAACGCCAGCAAGACCAGACGAAGATGCCACAGGGTCCCCAGATAAGCGCACGTAAAACAAGCTTTTCGAAGAGACAGATGGAGAGCGAATTTTTAGTACTTCACCAGAGTCTTGAATACGGGTCTCGGATAGACAGCAAACATCAATATTAAGACTTTCCCTATCGGTTGTCCAACGTGCATAAGTGTGCAAACGTTGAAGGCAACCAGTTTGAATGGTGCACGTGGTTTCAGAAAAACTGCTTCAGTATTCGTATTTGGTGGTAGAATTCAATTTTAAACCGGACAGTGACTCGAGAACGTTTAGATACGGACGAATTTCCACCATAGACGAGCTGCTGTATAAGTCGAAAAAAATAAGTATAGAGAGAGTGGGAATAAAAGAGGGTGAATAATGACGTAGTAAACAATAATAATGATAATAATAATAGTAATAATAATGATGCGAGTCACTTGATTGTTATTTGGAGCGAGAGGAATATTTTTCATAAGTAGATAGTTTATCATGTTTTTGTGTGCGGGCTGAGATACTGCCCGGGTGCCCAAACCGAAGTAGTGTATGACATGGTGTCGTGGTATGAAAGAAAGTTGCAAAGGGCTGGCTTGTGTTGGTCCTTCACGACTCCCTGGCTGGGGTCCGAGAGATGGTGCGACACAGTGGCTAGAGACGTTATAATATATGGCTCAAAATAGAAGCCAGAGGCGATCCTGCTGTAACCTTCCTTTACTTTCTTCATAAAAAGTGGTTGCTTCTTCCTTAACTAAAAGATCTCCTCTGATTGTACCTTTCCGTTCCCCCATTTATACCATTATTATTATTACACCACCTTACATCAATCTCCTCGTTATTTTCCTCTTTTTTTCCTTCCCCTTAAATTCTCATTGTTTTGTGTGGCGCATATATATTTGGCGCACTCTTGTACCAATATGTATGTGTTCAAATAAAGGAAATAATACCCTGCGTCGAACCTCACTATTACTTACCCGGTCATCCCAACATATGCGAGCAATATTTCTAAGGCATATGTGGTCAACTAGTAGCTTACGAGTATTTTCCACTCTTAATGGCCATGTTTCGCAGCCGTCATTTAGAACAGAACGAACTGCCGGATAATATACTCATCCCTTAATTGATAGACAGATATCTTACCCTCGCCATAGGTGACGTAAGTCGGCAAAAGCTAAACGAGCGTTTTGAATCCGTGCTGAGATTTCGTCAGACACCAACCCATTAGGGCTGATCAGACTTTCAAGGTAAGTGAAGTTTTCGGTGAGTTCGACTAATTCACTCCCTACCCTTAGTTCAGGTGTTGACGCAGGCCAGTCCTGAATTAACAACTTGCATTATAAGCGTCCATAGATAATCTTAATAATACTCCTATCGGTAAATACTCAACAACCAAGCACTCAATACAAAATCCTGACACTCGCTTTGGGTCAGTTAGTCAGTTAATCCCAGTGTAGAGCTTGGCTTTCAGTTCGTTTTATGAATATTTCTTAACTGTTTTACCAGGCGTTTAAAATTGTCTGTCGAAGTATATGATATTTAGACATTGAAATACCGTTTATGGTTAGCTTGGAGTTGTGGCTGAGGCGATCAAGCAGTTGGGTTGGAATATCTATGCATTTAGATAGTTGGTGATAAGTGATTGCCGTTGGGGATTTCAAATTCGGATCGTTGATACTCAATATGCGGAAAAATCATTATTAACTGTAAACATCGGTAGCCATCTATGAAATTTATTTATTTAAACACATAAACATTGGTACAAGCAGGCACCAAACAGATATGCGCCACATAAATCATTCGATTTGTGTGAGGGCTGGGATACTTCCCGGCTGCCCAAATCGAAACAGGTGGTTTTCTTAGGGGGCCACACCCGGAACCCTCGATCTAAAGGTTGATCCACAAGGCAGAAGAACAACGTAAGGAGATGCAGTCCCATAGTTACCGATGGCCAATGGTTGGTTCATACGCCATTTTGTCCTTCAGGATACTAGAGCCCATGTACACCATTAGTTTGGAATCAGGGTTTCCTAACTCCCCTAGGTGGATCCTTCTTATCCACCAACCCGGTTAAAGTTCCGGACATTCGCTATTCGTCCTCTTAATTTCGTAAACAGCAGAAATACCACGAGAAAGCAATGAGTAGGACTTTCCTGGCAGCGGTTTTATGTACGTGGCCACTCGAGAATGTTTCGAGAGGGAGAGCTGGCTCTTCCCACTCTCGGCCTTACTAGGGCATTTGAAGATCGATCTCCTTGTAGCTAATCAAATGGAGTAATACTGTCTGTAAATGCTCTTTCATGTTGATTACGTGAGATAAATGGATTATAATGTTTATGCAGTTCATACGGGGAACGTTTACTTAATGTAATGCAAACCTTTTGAAAATCATTATGTTTGGTCAAATCCGTTTTACTAAGGCCATTTAAAAGCCAATCTTCTCATATGCATCCAGTTGTGCTGTCGTCGAATGTCTTTGTGTATTGCTAGTCACTCGACATAACTAATCGTGTTATGTCCGTCTTCTTATTAACAGTACATCTTGACAGTATTATCCCCACTTCAAAAAGAAAAAACCCAGTAATCTTTGTAATTAAAGACAGTCGTGATCACTGTGTAATTTACTGTTGACATGATTATATATATGATTGTACAGCTTGATAATAAATTCATTGAAAATAGATCCCTTCGCTGAACTTTGTTTCTAATTTACTGTTATCTTCTGCTTGAACAATGATATCAATAAAAGCTTAAACTTTAATTTTCCTCGTACAAATGCATCTATCTTTCCTTTTGTTGCTACCCTGTATATTTCTTCTACACTTCGTCTCTTGATATTCACGTATTTCAAATATCATTCCAGTTGATCTAACGATTGGAAAAAGTGCTCTATCGGATGCATGGATGTAAATAACTCACGTAATTTGCAATGATTATGCCTATAAAGTATACTTCATACAGTTCTACAGAAACCTTTTATTCATATCATTACGTGTTGTTGGGTGGTTGAAGTTAGCCAACAGAAAACCTTATGTCTAGGTTTCTTGCTTTTTGAGTACTTGTACTTGTAATTTTGGGGGTCTAGACAAAGATGGCATTAGTCACTATTCAGTGATCAGTCAATTTCAAATATCATTATGTGTCTTCATTTACTGAGTAAACTAACCTTTAAATTATTGATTATGACCTGGGGCCTAAAGTTCCTTATTTACTTAATCTTACTTGTCTCAGGGGTAGCGTTCATCGTCATAACACATATATCGAATCTTACTCATCGGAAGTAGATGGGCTTCACCACAGACTTTACAGTGATCGGAACATGTTTGTAGCACTAAAATTTGCTTGTTCATTGAATTCTCTTTACTATTTTTGCTTTTATGTAGTTTTGAATGTACACTAGTCTTAGTGAAATAAGACTAATTGTTATGCCAGTCTATATACATGAAGTTTAGTTGGCACTTTGCAAATGACATTATTTCAAGTACTAACAAGATATCTCCATACCTACTGAAGACTGAAAGTACTGTAATCCTGTTCAGCATTCTCCGTTGTATTGTGGTAGCGAGAAGTGCTGAGGATGAACAATCTAAGTTCATTTGTTTGGCCTCCTGCTTTTAGAACACTTTTTTGCGAGATATAAGCTTTCTTGTGTAATTATGAATTATAGTGAAGATTGATAGAATTCTAATGAACTCATGACTTTTTGATCGATAATCTTATCCAGAAACCACAGCCACGTCTGTACCCACTATGAAAAACATAAAAACGTTAATGCTAATTTATACGGTTGTCAGTTTCGTTAACTAAATTTGCTTCTAAATAGCTGGTTCAGTTCACTGTCAAACTAACTAGCATGTTTTCATTTTCACATGTTTTAGGCTCGTCTTGTTAAAAATTATGGTTTATTTCCTATGAACCTTTACTGTCGAATTCGCATTGGGGATGCCATCTTCGAAACTCAGACTGCACTTTCAGCTGGCAAACGTCCTTTTTGGAATGAAACATTCCAATGGTGAGTTTTATTTGTTAGTATATAATTACTGCCATCAAAACGGGGCTAGTGTTGAGACATTTCCACTTTTATGAAACTAAATTCTATTGTCCATTGGTGGAAAATCTTAAACAATAAATCAGACTTTATCAGTATGATTCTGAAAAGGTATGAAAGTATCATTCCAAGTAAATGCGATTTGTTATGTACACAATGTTTAAACTTTCCCATACTCGATTAGTATTTAATACAACTAAATTGATATAAGGCAACTGACAACTTTTGGACTATACCTTTCAGTCTATTTTTATTTGGTCTGTTGTGTTGTAATAAGTTTGGTTGCAAAACTAAATTTGTCAGTCATGGTATAAAATATAAATTTATACTTGTCGAGTTAAAATTTTATTCACCAATCACATAATGAAAATGCTAAAATTAAGGAGTTCTAAAGGTTTATAATCTATGTAAATGCATTAATTTCATATTAACTTGTATTCATTTTCTCTTTTCAAGTGATGTACTCTGCTTTAATTCTGGCCAATTTTATGGATTATTAATTTGGATTTATAAGTGTAAAACATGATAAAAAATTATTGAAAAGAATATTCTTCGTTCATATAATTGTCTTTTCAAATAGAAAATTATTTATTCTGTTATAATTAATTTTTGTTTTAATTAAATTTTGATGAGCTTTTATTCATTGTTCTGAATGAAAGAATTTATCCTTGTCAATAATTATGTCTGTTGTGAGATAGTAACTCACTGATGACAATGGTGGGTGTGTCACTCAATTTCGTGGATTAGTTTAAGTTAGACTTTAACACCGTTTGGTTCTGGCTCAGTGGTCTAGTGGTTAGGCGCTCGCGCAGGAGACTGGTAGGTCCTGGGTTCGAATCATGCGAGACGGGGTCATGGATGCGTACTGCTGAGGAGTCCCACAATAGGACGGAACGGCCGTCCAGTGCTTCCATGTTTCCCATGGTAGTCTAGCTTCAATTGACTCATGATCTCAACTATTGATATTAGATAACATTCTTGTAATAAGTATTTTCATGTACGAAATTTTGTTTATATTTTCTTTTTAATTCGCTTATTTTAATTCTATTAAATTTAGTTGGTTACATGGTGATGTTGACAGATTAACAGTAGAAATATTTTCAGAAAATGTCTTATTTTCCGATTCACAAGTAGCTAATGCTGTGATAATTTTTCCTCCATCTTTATTTGATGGTGTTGCTTTAAATCAATGGTTTTCGCTCAGTGGAAAGCAAGGAAAAGATTTAGAAGGTTCAATTAATCTGATTTTCCGATGTCGAGTAAGCGAAACAAACTTATTATTAACTTGAATTTTCATTTACACTAATCAACATGATTGTTATTTATTTAGTCGTCAAAATTAGGAAACCGTATTATAACACATAATTAGCAAAAAACTAAGTGGTTTCTTAGTGAGAATCTATTCAACTACCAATTTCGCCCTTCTTTTTTATCAACCATACACTGACATATATCTGTCTTTTGTTACAAGTTCATATGTACTTGCAAAACAAGCATATGAAAATATAAGGTGTGTGCATGCACTCAGTTCAATATGCATATCACAAAAAAATTTTGAACTATGAGTCATTCATTTCCCTACCAATGCAACTGCTTTCAAAATCATCGATAAGCAAAAACTTATGTCTCTTCGTTTCACTAATTAGCAAGAAACTTCAGCTTGGCTTACTTATCCAAAAATAATTCATTATCAGCTTGATACGAACATGGTAATTTTTCTTCTGGTTCACTCCTCATATTCAGTCAATCAACCTCCACTCTTTCCCTTTCAATTCTGAATGTGGTTTTATACTTCATTCATATACATTCATTCATTTAATTTACCTAATGATTAGAACTGATGTACATAATATAGGATCTGGTCCAATCATTTATCCACTCAAGTTGCCACAATTCACATAACAATTGAAAATCGACAAAAATGATTTATGCTTTACGGACAAAAGACTGGAAGCCTATGTTGGTCCTCAGTTCGTTCACCTTTCTAGAAGTGTCTCAAGATTCTTACATTGCATTCTTAATATTACCCGTATTATTAATAATATTATCATGTTTCACATACTAGAATTTCTAGAGCTCTCTATTCATCTGCTTATAAACTGACAGCTTTTTGGCGAGTATCAACAGTAATTCTGACATCTTTTTATTCATCTCTGTTTATCAAACCTCACGTAAGTGCTCATCACCTTAAGGTGAATAAAAGACAGCATTCCACCATAGTCATCTGCTTGTGTATATTAGTTATTGATGTGAGCTTTATTAACGTAGGTACTGAGCTTATTTGTATGTTAATATTTGTTTATATTGGTTTTCCAGTAATACGAGGCCTTCTTCTGGTTATTTTTAGTTTACTCACTATATTGACTTATAGTTTTGTTTATGAAGAAATAAACAAAATAAAAGACCGATAATTTATGTGACTTGTCTATTTACTGATGCATAAAATGCAGTTTTTAAGGTCGGTTTGTATGTATATATGTTTGTGTACATGAATATTGCATATTAGTTGAATATTCATTAACAGCATGTGCTTTTCATTTTTTTTTCTGTAATACAACTTTATTGATTCATCCAAACTACTGTTCTGATCTTATTATTGCTCACTCACAATTGTAAACTAACACTTACACAAATGATTATCTACTTTTATCGATTTGCAAAATTTACCTTAATAAAGTTGTGACTCACGAGTTCCGATATCATAAAGTTAGCAATTGCTGTTCGGATGAGTGTAATTTACCTGGCCGAGGTTTTTGGGCTATCAAAACTAATATTTGAAAATTTCACATAATATAGCTAAAAATGAATCTTCATTTAAATTTCAAACATCTTAGAATCAAAGTGTTTGCTGAATTCATTATTTCAGGTAAGCATAACAGAACCTGATGAAACTCAAGTCAAATTCTACTGTGATTTCTGAAAACAAACTGCTTAGATTGATGTGATCTGATTGGTAGTCTTACATGTGCTGAAAATCCTTGCTTTAAGGAGATATATTGTCTACTACTGAGTCACATAAATTGTTGAAAACCAGTCATAACAATCCGGTTAATTCAAAGTCGCTTAATACCCAACAATCATTTCTCTTGCTTAAGTTTAATTTTATCAGTGGTACACTTAGACGTCTCAGTTCTACAGGAGGTCGGTCGCGGCCCAGATAGCTCAGTGGTAACGTCTCTGACTGTGAAGCTGGGTGACACGGGATCGAATCTATCAGGGAATCCACCAGTTCCTTCAAGATTACAGGTACACCTTGCTGACGAGTGCCAAGTAGCACGAAACCCAGGTCCAGGGTTTCCTGTCGACTACATCCAACCACCATCTAACAGTTAGGTTTCATTTAGCTTATTCACTCTCAACTCCGATTGTGAATCCTCCAAATACTTGCTCTAATTTTATCCTTTACTGGGTTACTTGAATACCAGGTCAGTTTCTGCTTGAATTAAGTAGTTTTACTTTTTAGATTAAACCAGTTAGAATAAATCCCTTAGAAAATCGTTTTTTTACCAAACCTAGGTATCTCTCGTCAAAATATTTTCGATCTAATCATCCAGTATTGCTGACCGTTGCGTGCAATTTCCAGTTATTCGCTTCACTCATGAATGCAAAGCCTAATCATTCTATGATTATTCAAGTTTTTCCTTGGTAACCGATCAGATTCCTTTACTCTCTTCTCAGTACTTTGGGTTTTTACTTTTTCTGTGATTATAATATGTGGCAGCTTTATTTTTATACATGGGGTTTTATTGCGCCTTTCTCGTTTGACTCCGGTTCTTTTTGGTGGCTTGTTTAAATTTTCCTCTATTAATTTCTTATCAATAACCGAGTGATATTGTTAGCAATCACAAGTGTCAGGTTTGTGGTTCACAGCATATGTCTCAAGTCTGTATGTAGTTTCACCAAATACTAGTGACTCAATGTAAATTGTCAAGTTTTTTATTTTCTTTTGTTTTGTAAGGGGAAGCAGGCTTTATGTGAGAAAAACACCAGCCTTAGGTTTAGAGTATGGTAGCATAGTAACTTTCATCAGATAATATTATTCCTTTGTCCTATTGCAATATATTTCCAAAGAAAAAGGTAAAGGAAAATCCATAGAAAGTAATAAGAAGTGTTAAGGAATACAGTTTAACTACAAATACGTTTAAAAGTGAGTTTACATTCACAATGTGATCGTAATTCGAATAAGATAAAGGACTAAATTAATGTACTTAAAAATTACTGCTGACTAATATTTATCAAAATGTAAAAGTAGGTGAATATATCCTTCTTCCTTTCTTTTCTGAACATTGAAAACCTTTCTGGTATAAGCGAAAGATGAGAAGGCCAACTACATACACATTTAGGTCCCTCAATTCGTTTAAATATATATGGAGAAACTAATCTAGTGTATATTTCCAGATTCTTAACTGTAGACTACCGATTGAAAAATATTGCTGACTTTAAGGGCTCTATATATCAGTATTAATTACTGATTAGTTTAGCTCAGAATATTAACAACGGGAGAATCCAAACCTTACTAATTAATGCTTTATTGACTTGCTCAGTCTTACCTTATTGTATCAACAATTTTTATTTAAATAGAGTTTGTTATATTCCCCTGTGACTTTATTTCATTTTTTAAAATTTTATTTGTAGAAAGTACCAGTAAACTTACCAGTTCTACAGTCCAGTCCATTATGTAAGTCTGGTTGGTTTAGTTCCGTTTGTTTGTTTTTTCGTATCATATAGATCAACAGTTCAGTGGTTCTCATGTTCTACTATCAATCATTTGCTTTACATTGATTACACTTCCACCGATTTGAACCACTATGTATATAACCATTAAACTGCTTTGCACATGATGTGTAGTCCTTGTTTTTGGTTAGGACTGTACCCTGGTTTATGCTTGTGGACGAAACGTTGGAATTATTTTAAATTTCAATCTCTGAGATTATTTCAAATATAATTTCCACATGTAATAAAGAATATCCTTTACGAAAATAATCAAATAAAAGGAGTAGCATAAAAACTCATGATCTAGAGTAGGACGGGAAATAAATGTACATATTCCAATGTTACCTATTTTATACCATTTAAGTTAAGATCTACACTCATAGATTACGTTCATCTCGCATATCCAAACCAAACAGTTTACTCCTACTTAAATAAAAATTCACAAAAAGTATTTCTAGAAATATATCAATTGTAAGTTTCTAGAAGAGTTAAGTTAAGGAGTTGAAATTCCTGATTGGAGCCTAGCTGAAGACTTTTTCTGACGTGTTAAGTTTTCAGTTAGAATATGTGTGCAAACTTTTCTTAATTGTACGATTTATATCACAAAATTTTGTCCCCATAAATGGAAACTGCAGAATAAGCATGGATATTGACAAATAATTAAATGCATATCTCTTAGGATTGTTCTTTTTGATAACCTAGTCAATCCAACAAACGGTATTAAGCCAGTCTTCAATCAGGAATTTCAGCGCTTCAGATCTACTCTTTATGATAGTTGCAATCACTATTCGGACCCAGGATCAATAGTTAAATATCTTTTAGCATAAGATCACATTATCCTCATTAGTTATTTACATTTGATACCTTTTTTCTAGATTGTCAACCGCGACTAGGTGAAATCGCTGGTATGAGTGTATTACCTAAACCAATATCTACTGAAGATGTTCAATCAATACATGAAATTTTCCCATCTGTTGAAGATGATACAATTCACTCACTTCTAACAACACATCATGGAAATCGAGAAGTTGTTATCAATGAACTACTTCGTATGACATCAGAAACTTAAATCTGTCAAATGTGATGATCATCATTGTATTATCATTTTCCGTTCTTTTTGTTGCTGTTTTTATTTGAACAAATTTTGTTGCTCCTAAATCATCTCGCCCCCTAAAAATTTGTCCACGTTTTATTTTATTTACTTGTCCGTCGATTGTTGCTTGTTTTCTCCATAGAGTTACATTATGTATCTTCAAATTGTTATAGCCTATTGTCTTCTGTAAGATATAGTTATCAATATTATCTCGATAAAACAATGCTATAATTGTGATGTTTGCTAAGTGTACTTGTATTTTTGTGTCTTTTTTCACTGATTTTCACCTTTTCTACTATTTTGTTTTCATTTTCAAACATATCCTATTTTTGTGTTTCATTACATTTGTTCTCTAGCTAAAATACTTTACTGATTGTGGTTATATATGTGTTCCTGTTTCTGTCGTTGTTATTCCTAGGTGTTTGTCGTCTTAAAATGATGATCACATAATTTATATATATATATATATATATATACTCTTGTTTTCAGGATTTTATCTGAACAGTTTCAGTACTTCGTTGTTATACGACTACCGAGCATTGTTTTGTTTGTTTGAACTAAAAAGTTGTTGGATTTTCTGTAGTAATAATGTGACTGTCAAATATGCTTTTTTTGTTTCTGTGCAGATATACATATATTTATCATCATTATGAGCTGTTATGGTTGGTCATTCAATAATTGATTCTGCCTGTACCATTTGTTAATTTTTACATTGTTTTTTGAGCTGAAAATCGATTAATAATAGCCCACTTTACTAGTAATAGTCATCATACTTTGTTTAGCATATAAGTCGCTTTCTTTTTTGATTCTTTGAAGAAGCGACTCAAACAAAGTAGCGAAACCTCACCAATGTATTTCTCTACTTACTGGAATATTTTACAGATCACATTTTGTAAAGAAAGGAGACAAATACTTATTTTGTTTAGGATTATATTAGAAGATTTAAGAAGGTCTTTCAATCACATTTGTATCATCTGGCGAATCATTGAAAATCAAGTGACACTGAACAAATGTTTTTTCTCCTCTTTAGTGACACTCAAGAAGTATACACGCCTACAAATATGCTCGATCCCATGTATGGGCTGTAGCAGTAAAACCTCTTAAGATTGTGAAAACAAGTTGAAATGATTGTCCAGTGCTCGATATTGATCAATTCCTCTCCAACTGATAGAAACCTCACTTGACATCAATGGTTTAAATATTTAGGTGTTTCAGTAGATTTCGCCAAGGTACGTAGAAAACTGATTTGTAGTGTTTCTTTAAAAAAACAAAATATATCGAGCTTCTACGACTCATCGTTTACTTATATTAAAAATGAACTTTATGACTGTTTAGTTCTAATAGTTTTGTGACTTATGAAAGTCTTAGCTAACAGAGTTATTCCATTTTAGACAACAAGAAAACATAGTACGTTTAGTCTTCGTCTAATTGAGATTACTAAATTTAGCATATAAATCTAAGTTGATACAAGTGTATACACAAGATCTGTAATTGACGTCGTACAATACAATTTTGAATTATCAAAAAGAGATATGATTAAACGATAATATTAGCACACCAAACTTTTTGAATCTTTTTAATTTATACGTGGTGTTAATATATCTGAGGAAACTTGCGTGTAGGTAACAATATGCTAATTTTTTTCAATCAGTAAATGATAATTAAAGCACACTACAATTCCATCTTACAACGTTACTTTGAAATAGTATATTTTAAAAACTACAGTTGCATTCTTATAATAAAAAAATGACGAAATGATCTTATCCAGACATTAACAGTATTGAATCCCAGCTCAGTAGTGTAGAGGTTAAGTGCCCGCGCTTGAGACCGAGAGGTCCTGGGTTCGATTCTTTCTGAGATTGTGAATATGCACCGCTTAAGAGTACCATGTTAGGTTTTCAATTGTAATCTAGGTACTACCAGTTGGTGATCCAAAACAGAATTCTATGCTCCCCATAGATCCTCTACATTAAAAGATAATTGGTGAATTCCATTATACTACTGTAGTTACGGGCTATAGCCAGTTATTATGGTATATTTTTAACATGGATGTATACAGATTAATTAATAGATTATCGGTTGTGCGAAAAGATTCTCGTTAATTTCGAAGATGTTTTATTCTTGATTCGGATACTCGATTGTCAATCACCGAAGTTATGTGTGCGAAGTCTGTTCTGCTTAACAGTGTTTAGGTGGTTAATCAGTATCACTAGGTCTCAACACCTTCAATTTCCAACCAAAATTCGTTAGTCTTTTATGTGGTTCATGAGTGATGTTACTTATTACTATTATTAGTTTTCTCACTATTTATTTGCCTTGGAAACTATGGTCATCCCTAAAGGAATTGTATAATAGTTCACGTGTTAAGAAATATCCACCGCAATCAATAATGTAATACTGATAGTAACGATAGTTGTTGGTTATTAATTAGCAGTCAGGTCATTTTGAACTTCCTTAATCTGTTTCCAGATCAGATTTGTGAATGGATTGCATTTGAATTGCAAATCCTTCCAGTCAAGATCGTGGGTGCGCGATGTTGAGTTGTTCCATAATAGGATGAAACGGCCATCCAGTGCTTCCAGGTTTCCAATGGTGGTCTAACATCAGTCACTTCATGATCTCAATCAAAAACATAATTTCCATAACCCCATACTGATAATACTGTAATACTCTGTGATTTTGAAACTTGATTTATTAAGGTTGAAGGTATATGTATACTGCAGGATTTTGATCCTATTTGTCTTTGATTTGCTACTTGCATTTTGTGGAACTACCTAATCACCAATGTTAATGCTAGAGATAGGGTACCATTCAAATATAGCAAATCGGTTGTAAATCTTTATCGACAGGTGGTTAGAATAAGTCGGAGTATAATGCTGGCCGGTTTAGGAGTAGGTTGGAAGAAAGTTAAAGGTGACCAAACCAGTAATTTAGAGGAAGTCACTTGTCATCCTCTTTTCTGAATCCTGTTTTTAAAAAAATAAAATGGCGTGATAATTAATGTAGTTGAATTACTAAATGATAGTATTTAGCGTATATACGGTTAGATTTTCTAAAGATTAAAATACTTTTATTTGGTCGGTTTATGTATTTTATATTATTAAAAAGTATTTAAGAATAATTGACACTATCAAATTTCAAGTCGTATTTATTTTATTGTAACGAATAACCAAAAAAAATTGTTTCATAGGGAAGATAGAACGTTTAATAGGTAATTCCACAAATTACTTTTAATGCTCAATCATATGATTACTGATATAGTCAGTTTGAAACACATAAGTTGCTTTAAAATGATGACTTAAAGATTAAAACATCAGACTTTCGATCACCAAGACCGAATCTCTCTCTCTCTCTACTTACGTCAGATAAAAAATGATTGATTAATTCTGAAAATCAATATCACATAGTGAACAACCCTTAGTTGGTTTATAGAAAGTTTGGTTATCCATAAGAATGATAATAATATATATCTAGAAAATAATTATATAATCCAAAACAAGTTATAGATAGTCATGATCAAGTTGAGTCAAAGAGGAAATAACACGAAACTCATAAATTATTTGAACTGGACATTTATTACTGAGATTTAAATAATATAAAGTACAAGATCCGAATAAAATGCATACTCAGGAGTGAATGTATTTTAAAGTGAAGTATTATTTTCAGACTACAAACCCTAATAATCATTAACCTTGAAATTATAGGGTTGCTTTTCGTAAGTAGTGAGTGAATACGATATGTGGCACAACTACACTGTCGTGAGTAGTTTAAGCTAAAAAAAATATGACATCTACGACTTGAAGGTTACAACCAATAGTTTATCCACCAGTGTTACAGTTTAGTGTTAGTTTAATTTGTGGGAAAACACCGAACATTAATATAGGTGATGTGGTTCAGAGTCTATCTAGTCATACTAAAATATCTAATTAGTTTGCTTGCTCTTACTAGCCGAAGATGTATTTATGAACCGGTATTGTCTTAAAATAACCCAAAATTCTTTTTGCGAAGAGGAGAAATAAATAATGTTAGGTCCATTCCGATCCACTTAAAAGGTACTTATAATCACTTAAAACTAGAAAAAGAAAACGAAATATGTCGAAATCAGTTGAAGTGTCATGAAGAAAAATACACTAAATTCACTTATTTATTGATCTGTCTCTCAGCATTCCTGAAGCTCTCTAGGACCATAAGGATTCGTGCAAACACATTACTATGTTTATGATTGGTAATCAATATATCTGCGTAATAACCGTGTGAAAGTCTTCGAATTTATTAATAAGAAACACTGTGATGCACTCTAAAATAAATGAAACTTCAACTTATAGCAACTGGAACAATAGAGAAATATCCATAAAATTACTTACTTATTTACTTACACATGTTAATCCTAATGGAGCATAGGCTGCCGACCAGCATTCTCCAACCCACTATGTCCTGGGCCTTCTTTTCTAGTTCTATTCAATTCTTCATTCTTCCCATGTCTGTCTCTATTTCTCGGCGAAATGTGTTCTTTGCTCTTCCTCTTTTCCCTTGGCCTTGAAGATTCCGAGTGGGGGCTTGCCTTGTGACGCAGTTGGATGCTTTCCTTAATGTATCCTATCCACTTCCAGCGCTTCTTCCTACTCTGGAATCTGGTTTGTTCTCTCCCACAGTAGGTAGTTGCTGAATGTCTGGCTAACGAATCTGAAGTATTTTGCCTAGACAACTGTTAATAAACACTTGTATCTTCTGGTTGATTGCTTTCGTAGTTCTTCAAGTTTCCGCCCCATACAATAAAACTTTTTTGACATTTGTATTAAAAATTCTGCCTTTGGTGTTAGCTGACGGTTGTAGATATGCTGCTCTTGCTTTGCCGATTCGTGCATTTATATCTGCATCAGATCCACCGTACTCATCAACGATGCTGCTCATATATGTTAAGGTTTTTACATCTTCCAAAGTTTCTCCGTGAAGTGTGGTTCAATTGGTGCATGTAGTGTTGTATCTTGCTTTTCCTTTTGTGTATATTGAGGCCTACTGCTGCTACACTGGTCGTCTTCTCCTGCATTAGTTGTTGCGTGTGCGATAGAAGATCCAGATCATCTGCGCAGTCCAGATCGTCCAGCTGTATCCTAGTTGTCCACAGTATCCCGTGCTTCCCTTCAGACGTTGAAGTCTTCATGATCCAGCCGATCACCAGGAGAAAGAGAAAGGGTGAGAGTAAGCAACCCTGCCTGACACCGGCCTTTACTTCAAACCTCCACTCACGATTTTGAAGTTTAATCCAACATAGGAATTCCGTATGATATTGACTATCTTCCAAGGCACACCGCAGTATCGAAGAAGCCTTGATAGTGTTGTCTTTTCCACTCTATCAAATGATTTCTCGTAGTCAATGAAGTTGATGTGAAGTGGTGAATTCCATTTAATTGGTTGTTCTACAATGATCCATAGTGTTGCGATTTGGTTTGTACACGATCGATTCTTACGAAATCCAGCCTGGTGATCTCGAAGTTGGGAGTCTACGGCGTTCTTCATTCTGTTTAACAACACCCTGCTGAAGACATTTTCCGGTATTAAGAAAAGAGTGATGCCTCTGTAGTTATCACACTTGCTGAGATCGCCTTTCTTTGGTATTTTGATCAGAAGTCCTTCTTTCCAGTCTCTTGGTACTTGTTCCTCATCCCAAATCTTATTGAAGAGAATGTGGAGTATCCTTGCAGTTACCACTACGTCTGCTTTCAGTGCCTCTGCTGGAATGTTGTCTGGTACTGCTGCTTTGCCACTCTTGATTTGTCTGATGGCTGTGTTGATCTCTTCAACTGTTGGTCGGCCAACATTGATTGGGAGGTCCGTGGGTGCTACTTCGATGTTGGGTGGGTTCAGTGAGGCTGGTCGATTCAAGAGT